TATTTCAACAAGGGAAAGCTAATGCACGGTGCCATGACCAAAGTTGCACTCCAGCTCGCAATCACGCGCCAAACAGTTGTCCACGTATGGCGGACGTTTCGCAACCGTGGCAGCATCAAGTCGAGTAAGGCAGGCAGGGTCGGCAAGAAGATCGTGCAAACAGCCAACGAAATCCAAGACCTCAGTCGCGCGGTACCTGACGACAGACGCTCGACCATGCGAGACCTCTCGGCTGCAACTGGATTGTCCATGGGAACACTGAGCTGCCATCTCAAGAATGGAACCATTCAACGACACTCGTCCCGAATCAAACCTCTCCTGTCGAATGAGAACAAGCTGGAGCACCTCCCAACTTGGATCTCCTCTGGAATGTCGTCCACCTGGACGAAAAGTGGTTCAATGCTGACAAGGACCGACGCAAGCATTACCTGGTGCCAGGTGAGCTTCCTCGACCGCGTGCATGGAAAAGCAAGCGATTCAAACCAAGGGTCATGTTCCTCGCTGCCGTAGCACGCCCAAGATTCGACGATATCCGGGGGACCATGTTTGATGGAAAGATTGGCATGTGGCCATTTGTGTCTCTCTCCCCTGCGGCGCGATCGTCACGCAACCGTCCTGCCGGAACTATGGTGACCAAGTTGGTGAATGTCAATGCCAAGGTGTACTGTGATTTCATCGTGAGCAAGGTGGTTCCTGCCATCAAAGCGACTTTTTCGAGCGGGATCAAGCGGGTCGTTCTTCAACACGACAATGCCACCCCGCATGGGTCCATCACGGACGACGTTCTTGAGAGCGTTTCTACAGATGGCTGGTCTTTTGTTATCCGTCGTCAGCAGCCAAATAGTCCTGACCTGAATGTGCTCGATCTAGGATTTTTCGCTTCGATCCAGTCTCTTCAGTACAAGGAAGAGAGTCGTTCAGTTGATGACGTTATTCGTTCTACTCTTGCGGCATTCGAGATGCTGAGCTACGAGAAGCTCGAAGATGTCTTTCTCACTCTACAGGCGGTCATGAGACTAATTCTCGAGCTTGATGGAGGCAACAACTACTCTCTGCCTCACCTCAAGAAGTCATCCTTGCGACGCACTGGTCTGCTGTTGTAGAATGTTCAATGCCCTGTTGAGTTGGATTTTTAGCCAATGAATACATAGATTTTTCTTCTCGACCAATTAAATTCATTTGTTCACAGTAATGTGGAAAAATTGGATTTTGTATTTGTTAACAGTAATGTGGGACAGAGGAAGTATAAGTTTTCACCAAAAATTATTTTGAGTTCAATACACTCAGAAGATGAGTCAGTGGTGAACTCGTCGAAGTCATCGATGCCAATTTGCAGATATTCGAACACATTGCACAGTATCACTTCATTCGACACCAGAACGGATTCCATCTTGGCGCTGTGAAGGACACGAGCGGATACGACAACGTCGAGCGGACGCAGTAATTCTTCGGGCAGTCGACATTGGCCTCTT